TGATTGCTCTTGGTGGTCCCATATATTGAAGTGAAGTGGGTTGTAAAGATTTAAAGTCATCTCTACTAAACGCAGATTTCTGAACATAGACTGAATGAGCATTGCACAAAATTCTGGAACACAATATTTTTTGAGTTCTCTGCTTCGTAAGTGATGCAGGACTCAAAGGTTTATTTGATGACAAGGAACCCACTTTTTAGAAAATGAAAGTTTGGAATTGGCTTGGCTAGGTAAGGAAGAAAACTTTATTATAAATGTACGACGTTCAACAAGATTATGTCATCCTCAGGAGGATTTGGTTTGGTTTGAATTTCGGGCAAAGGTGCACGAGGGCTATCTGGCTTATCATCCCTAATTTAGCAGTGAAAGACTAGAAGGAAGGTAGCTAGTCACCACCCACTGCCAACTCTTGGGCTACTCTTTTATCAACGAATAGTGGAATTGACCGTCACATTATAACGCCCCCACGGCTGAAAGGACGAGTATGTTTAGTGGGACGGGGGTTCGAACTCGCGACCCTCAAATTGTGCCTTAACCAGCAGACATACCAGACTATTGTAGAAGGCTGAATATCACTTGGGCTATCTGTGTTGTGCCTACCACAGATATCGAAACCCGGATTTTTCCCGTTATAAGCTTTGCAGTTATTACTTTATTGTGGAAATTCTACACTTCTAGTCAGTATCATAATTTCCGACTTCATCAATAACAAACTCCTAGATCACTGGTGTTCCTTTCGCTTCTTTTTGATGTTTAATTCACTTTGAAAATATCTCGCATGTTGTTATTACAACAGTGCATCTCCTCTTGCATGAATAAAGCAAATGAGAAAATTAGCAGTCCCTGAACATCCGACATCAAAGACTGCTAAAACAGAGGGATTTTATATATCTCAGTGAATAGCCTGATATTCGCTCAAACGATGCGGCCACTCGGTGATATTCGGCCACTCGGTGATATGCGGCCACTCGATGCGATTGACGTTTATATCCCTAGAATTCAACTTTTAAAATATATTATGGACGTAAATAAAAAAGACTGTAAACAAAGACTCGGTGATTTATTCAACTTAATATTCTAATGAGTCCTTCACACAATTATAAGACTATATTTAGTTTCCTGCTTAATTCAACTTCTAGTTTTAAAGCTAATTTGTAAGGAAAACTATATGACTTTCAAAGAGATTTTCGTACATTGATTTTGCATTATCGTTTATGCCTTATTGTTTAAGTAATCCACTAATTATCAATTGAAATGCAATCAACCACATTATTTCGCTATGCTTACCTTTTGTGAGGATAATGAAATATACATATTCGTTGTGCAGGACCGCAACAATTATATAAGTTCGTGTTACGATTATTCTGTCAATGGCTAAAGGCAGTGTGACATACACAGTTCATCGTCAACGGATGGGACGTTACTGGATTCTTAGGTTATTTATCATTGATTCAAGGACGATACATGAATAAAGACTGGAGATTCAGTTTTGATTCAATAGTTTGAAGACTATGAAGTTTCAAAAGCTTTTGTGTCACGTGCTTGATTGCATATTCAAAATTATTTCTTTCTTAACAAACTAATCGTATCGTTTTCCCGGAAAATGTTTCCTAACAAACTTATCGTATCGTTTTCCCGGAAAATGTTTCCTTACAAACTTATCGTATCGTTTTCCCGGAAAATGTTTTCTTACAAACTTATCGTATCGTTTTCCCCGGAAAATGAGACGAAGAACCAGGTACCGGTGGATGATTTTTTTTTCAAGTAGCTGCAAAACGCCACGGTTCTAATTCTTGAAGAAAAAGTACATGTTCTCTTCTGTACTAGAACCTAGCCTTATAGCAGATGGAGTATCAGTTTACATTAACACTAGTCTTCGTACACTGTTGAAATTTAGTTTCCAAGAAAATACTGACAAATAACTGAACTTAGGACCTTCCAATAAAATAAAAAAGAAAGAAAATTAACGGTACTCCACTTGGAATTCCCAAAACAACTGGACAAAGTTCCATTTAGCACAGGCAGAATTTCATTCCCAATTTTTAATAGCAGGAAACTTGGATCTTTTGTGTCGTTGCTAAAATAATGAATACCTCCGTTATTTCGGGATATCTGGTGACTGTAATACATTGAATTCATTATTCTACTTTTCTCATTTGATTTCAAGTATTTTGTCCCTCTGTAGCTCAGCAGTAAGTTTGACAGCTCATAACGCTAAAAATCGGATTTCGATACCCGCAATGGGCAGAGCTGAGTTAACCGATTGTGTAACCTTGCGCTTAACGTTAAACGAGCAAACAAACCAAATATTTTGATATGCTTATTCCCAGGTTATCGAGGTTATCTTCCTGGAATACAGACCTCCAACTGTACTCTACCTCTTTATGATAATTACATAACTCCATAAATGTATTCGGAAGTCCTACTAGGGAATTAAACCCTCGCAATAAAAAAATATAATTTAATTAATAAAAGAACGAAAGTGAGGAAGACGTATTATTTATTCAATAAGGTACATGATTTATTGTTTTATGATTTTTTTCGCAAAAAGTTATCGTCCAGTAATCGACACGAACGCATTGTAGTCGAACTCCGCAAGGAATTTGCGTCACGTGCTTACAATGTTGCCTCCTAACTCGCGCCATTTCGTGATGAGTTTCTTTATTTTTCTAAGGTTGTAGCGTGCGGAAGATAGATTGAAGTTGAAGAATAAAATTTGCTGTCGAAAGTTATGCAACTAAGCATTCACATTATCTAATATTTATTGTTCTTAATATTTCCGGGCAAAATCATGTTTCCTCTTTATTGTTTTCGAATTTGTTTGTTGAATTTCGCGCAAAACTACTCGAGGGATATTTGCTCTAGCCGTCCCTAACTTAGCAGTAATAAAACTCGAGGAAAAGCAGCTAGTAAACACCATCCACCGCCAACTCTTGGGCTACTCTTTTACCAATGAATAGTGGGATTGAGCGTCACATTATGACGCCCCTGCGGCTGAAAGCGCGAGCATGTTTGGTGACTGGGATTCGAACCCGTAACCCTCAGATTGCGAGTCGAGTGCCTTAACCACCAGGCTAGGCTAGGCGGTTTTCAAAATAAAAAATAATCATACAGTACAATGTTGCAGGCAAACATACTTGCATCAAGGTTTAAGAAACAAAGAATAAGAAACGTAAAGGTTCTTCTTAAAGTCGTTACCAAGATATTTTAGTATTTATTCTCTCCTTGTGTATTCTTTATAGATATATATATTTCGATGAACTTCCAGAAATAAAGAAGTACCATAAAACCGTTCGTCGTTTTCGAACTTGATTTTTATAAAATTCGTTAATTACAAACGTTATTCTTATCTATCTTTCACCTACCACAAGACGCTCCCGAAGAAGACTTTCGTTCAATACCAGAACTCATCAGTTGAGGTGTACAATAAAAGACAAAATATCTTATAAAACGCCATCTATATATGTATATAATAGCTAAATAGTTATGGTAACTGGTTAGCGGGTGTTGAACTACAGAACTAAAGATCCTGGGTTCGAGCTGTGGTGCCGCTGAATTTACACCGCACTTTCACTATGGACGTGTTATAAAAGTGATAGTCAATCCAGTTATTCGGTTCTAAGAACGGACCAACGCCCATGTGGCGGATTGTGATATTTACTGGTTGTCCTGTCTCTAGTTGGTAGCTCAAATTTACAGACGGCTATACCAGAACCCCAGGTCTCTGCCCTGCCGTTTAACCCACGGGCACATAACGTGCCACTTATGTTGCAAGTGTTAACATATTTTTAAGACAAGGCTTAACTTCATGAACTTAAGCAACTAGAAACTTTCATTGATAAAGTATGATCTTAACTGATATACCATGAATTAGGTAAGGTGAGTAAAAGAAATTCTTACCTTTACAGGAACGCAAACGAGTATTAAGAGGAGGTCAGCGGATGCCAAACTTGCGAGGAAAAGATTACTAATAGTGCGCATGCGTCTGAATCGGACCACTGTGTACATGATTAGGATGTTTCCAGTTAAGCCAACAATAAGAGTGAGGCCGTAGACAATGCTGGTGGGTATTAAGTCGTCTAAAAAGAACGTACCGAAGCTGTCGTTAGGATCATAGTCGTAGAGAAACGTGGAATTCACCGTGTTGTTTTTCTCGTCATCAGCATATTCAGCGTTATTCAATGCTAATTCATTCTCCTCGTCTCCCATAATTAGGGTCATTGTTGATGTATCCTCCATTACTCGATCAACAAGCTAGGCAACACCTAGAAAAACAATAACAATAAATTCTAATATTTAGCTGGACAAAAAAAAAAGGATTGCCGTAAATATGTTCAGTTGAATTCTTTAAATAAAACAATTAAAGATTCTAACAGCCAGAAAAGTATTACAGTATAATAATACTCATTGAAATACTTGGAATAAAACAATAAACAATCGTAGAATGTAACTAATAAAGATTTTGGTTTGAATTTTGCGCAAAGCTATTTAGCAATGAAAAACTAGAAGGAAGGCGGCTAGTCATTGTCAACCACGGCCAATTCGTGGGCCACTCTTTTATCAACGAACAGTGGGACTGACCCTCACTAATAACACCCCAACAGCTAAAAGATGGGACGGGGAATCAAACCCGCGACTCTCTGATTGCGAGCCGAACACCCTAACCACCTGGCCATGTCATGTTGATTATTCAATTGAATGCGTGAAATAGAACAATAGATAAGTTTAGAAGTTAATTATAAAATGTTGCAGCGTACGATGCGTCGAGATCCGAACCCCAGGTTTGAACCTGTTAAGAGATAAATTACTAAAGGAATACAAAAGCCGTGAAACACCGAACACTATAATGAAACAAAGAAACATGCTAAAATACAAAATAGGCGAACCTCTTTTTGAGTTTGAGCATAAATTACAGGAATTAGGTATCGGGCCAAGAAAAGCTTACCCACACCTACACGAGCTAATGATACACCGAAATCTAACTATCAGAGAGGTTTAGTTAGTAATCTAAGGAGATTAATTCGCAAACGAAGCAACGCTGTTAGATGTAATAAAAGTAGCTATGTTGGAAGAACTCAGAGAAAAATACACATGAAAATACAGACGTTTTCCAGATTAATTCAGTAAATAAGTGAAACAACAGGCCAAACTGGCAAGAACGAAATTCGGACGGGAGTAGTGTTACAGGGTAAAATACAAAATGATAAATGTTTCAAAAGCAGAATGGAAGGACATATTGCTAGAAACAGTTTTAGGAGAGAGCATAACAAATAGAAACGTTTAGGAAAAACGACCTTTATTTGTTTGTTTGTTTGTTTGTAGTTATGCACAAAGCTACACAATGGGCTATCCGTGCTCTGCTCACCACGGGTATCGAAAAACGGTTTCTAGCGTTGTAAGTCCGCAGACATACCGCTGTGCCACTGGGGGCAACGACCTTTATACTTCAGATATGCATAAAAGAATTTAAAAAAAAATCTTAACCAACCTTTCACCTTTGCCGCTTCACCAGGGTTAAAACAGTTGTGTATATTAACCATGATGAAGCCGCAAAGGCGAAACTTTGGTTTAAAAAAAAATCTTTTATATATATCTAGAGTATAAAGGTAAGTTGGATATACAATACAGCTTAGCTTAATAGTTATTATTTAGTTTATTTGGTGATTTAATATTTAATGATTATTTATTTTTCATAAGAAGAAAGTTAAAAGTAATTACTTTAAAGGCGATAATTATGACAAGTTTGTTTGCGTAACTCGGTAAGAGTCGTACATTGTGTGTGTGGTCCAATTGTTGTAGTATTGTTGACATCAAGTTACTCGAACCTTCGGTATTTTTCTCGTTACCTTAAGTGAGTATTGTTGCATTATAGCGTCGCTCGCGTAGTTTACAGAAAATTCGAGGCCTCAGTTGGGAATATAGGCGACCAAGCGAGAGCAAGTAAAGTTAAGTCAAGTCAAGTAAAGTTCAGTCAGATAAAAAGTTAGAAAACGTGAAGTTAGCCGGCATGTGAGTGATTGGCTTTAATTTAACAGGTGATATTTTAAAGTGAGTTTCACAGTTCAATAGAGATAAGGAGAATAATTTGTCTTGTCAAAGGGTGTTCTAAAGTAACTGAACCAGCCTGTGTGGACTTTGATGAAAAAGAGACAATTATTTAAGGTTCTGGATACAACTGTGGTAACCCACGAGATAACGTAAATGAATTTATCGCAGTTTGTATAATAAGAAACAGAGAAAAATAATTCGTCTTGTGAATTAGATTTTAAACTAAGTCACTGAACCAGCCTGTGTGGACTTTTGACAAGAAAAGAGAATTATTTAGAGTTTTAGATGCAACTGTGATATCCTATAGTGTAAAGAATTTTTGTACATACGTTTGACTTGTTTTGAATATATTTTGATTGTGGGCTGTCCGTTTACTATTCGAATTTATCGCCAACAAGTCACAGACACCTACTGTAGAAGAATCCCATTCACTCACTTATATATAATACCCTGACAAAGTAGTTTTTTCTAAACGTTTTATCAAATGTGTAACTTCCTCCAGTATACACTATAAAGTTTCAAACAACAAGTAGAAAACTTTAACTGAGACTGAAGGGGCACATGTCCCGTAAGTGTTAATCAGTTAAGTTTCTAAACTCGGTTTCAAATGGCACAAGGGGATGAGAATGGCGACCCATTCCCTCTGGATGGGATGTCAGTCCATTGCAGGTTAACACCTAGATAACAGCTGGCACCCTTCATACAGCTGGGTAGACTGAAAGAAGTGGGGTAAAGTGTCTTGCTCAAAGACACAACAGCATGACACGGGCCAGCTTCGAACTAGCAACCATCCGACTACTAGTACAAAGCCACTCAACCACCCTGCCTCACGAGTGTAAGTGTTCGCTAAAGAAGAGATCTTACAAAATACCTCGGTATAAAACTTTCAGGAAAAATTTAGTATATTCAATACAAAAAGTAGTTGCAGCAGATACAACAAAACTTAATTCCAGCCGGAATAAAAAAAAACGAAACCAGAAGGAGTTCCAGCAGCATGGGTAATATATCAAACATGCGTCGTGTCAATGGAATTACGCCAGTACTTAGTTTAAAAATAGAAAGAATATAATGCTGGTTTTTAACTGACACAAGTGCTGGGTTTTCTCTGCTGAGTGCAGATTTAGTAAAGAAAAATCTAACATTATTAGATAATACATAGAAAGAGCATCTTATCTTCAATAACAAAACATCCAGATAAAAAGTTAGGAAAGTATCGTGTTCAAGTACAAGTTGGAGATTTAAAAGTTGAACATTCATTCCACATGTGTAATGAGATAGACATAGAAACAAACGGTTTACCAGGACTAAGAAGTCATGACACTGACATATACGTTACCAAAGGCTGGTTAGACATAGAAACGGAGTTATTTAGTTAGGATCAAAACACGCCTTCGGATATAAGAGTTAATGAAGACTCATGATAACTTATTGCTGATTCAGTCAGACACCGAGCATGTGCAATGAACGTAGTAGTGAGGCTGGGGATCTGAAATCAAAACGCAATAGTACTGATAGTCCTCTTAAACAATAGTATTGATAGTTCTGATAATAATAACACAATAGTATTGATAGTTCTGATAATAATAACACAATAGTATTGATAGTTCTGATAATAATAACACAATAGTATTGATAATTCTGATAATAATAACACAATAGTACTAATAGTCCTATTAATTAAACACAACATAGTACTGATAGTCCTCGTAATGATAACACAATAGTACTGACAGTCCTCTTAATTATACACGACATAGTATTGATAGTTCTCGTAATGACAACACAATAGTATTGATAGTCCTCGTAATGATAACACAATAGTACTGATAGTCCTCTTAATTGTACACGACATAGTATTGATAGTCCTCTTAATTGTACACGACATAGTATTGATAGTCCTGATAGTAATAACACAATAGTACTGATAGTCCTGATAATAATAACACAATAATACTGATACTCCTCATAATGATAACGCAATATCTCTGATAATTCTTGTAATGATAACGCAATATCTCTGATAATTCTTGTAATGATAACGCAATAGTACTAATACTCCATGTAGTGATAACGCAGTAGTATTAATACTCCTTGTAATAATAACACAATAGTACTTATACTCATTGTAATGATAATACAATAGTACTTATACTCATTGTAATGATAACACAATAGTGCTTATACTCATCCTTCATCATAACGGAATAATACTGATACTCTACGTAATGATAACGCAATAGTACTGATGCTCTACGTAATCATAACACAATAATACTGATACTCTACGTAATGATAACGCAATAGTACTGATGCTCTACGTAATCATAACACAATAATACTGATACTCTACGTAATGATAACGCAATAGTACTGATGCTCTACGTAATTATAACACAATAATACTGATACTCTGAGTAATGATAATGCAATAGTACTGATACTCTACGTAATTATAACACAATAACTATGTAGTCGAAATGGTGGTAGAGATTTTAGTGTCATGATTAAAAACGACTAGTGGTAGTAAGAAGTAAAACACTAAGCCTAGTGGTAGTAAGGAGTAAAACAATAAGCATGATAGTAATAGTGAGATAGAGAGAGAGAGAGCTTAAATGAGCGCAGAACCAGTATTCAGAGGTAAGGAAGCAAATAACAGCGAATTGAGTAGAGATAAATAAAACCTAGAGAGCCTTAAGAAAGCTCATAACTATAGAAAACATTCTGATATTTTTACACACAGAGTGGAGAACCTCCAAACAGGAGAGTTTGTTAGAATTCGTTCCTGTATGATTAATAAGAGTTACAGAGATAAATGAGAAAAGTCAAAGAATCAGGTGTATATATTACTGTTTGTGTGAGAACACAACGTCTCTTAAGGTTTTAAGTGTACATGAAAGTAAAGTGGTTGGGTACCTAAACAGGCAGTGGTAGGTAAACCTATCAGCACAGAGAAGGTAGCTGCAGTAAAGAAACATAAGTCAGGTTTTTATAAGAGGTGTGATATCAAATTAGAAGATATAAAGGTTAAACATAAGCAATAACTAGTGAATTTATTATATTAATACAGAGACATATTTGTAGGAGAAGGTGACTTGAACAGCTGCACAAACCAGGTGATAAACACACCTAACACAGAGCCCCGATATAGAGCCAGAGGAGCACTAAGTAAAGATAAAAGGATGTGAAAAGTA